GCGGACCCCGAGTGAGCAAAGCAGGGAGATCCCCACCGTGGGACAACCTGGCCTTGGCACGGCTCCATGCCCCCGGCTGACCGGGATAATCCCTCTCACTGCTGAGGATGCTGGTGTCGGGTGATTGTTTAACCCTGGTCTCTAATTGCCTTGAATGCAGTTCAAAAGACGGTTGCTTTGGGTCTGTGGTGCCTGCCCAGCAGCCACAGCTTTCGGCAGCATTTATATAGAGGCTGGGAGAAGCCCTCATTAGAGGGATTAGCATGGCACAAATCCTCGTGTTTTGCACATGACATCAAGGGCAGAAAAGTCGCCAGTGTGAGAGCTCTGGCAGCTTGTCAGGAGAGTGAATGCCTTGGGTTTATTTCTCCAAGCTTTTCATGACCTTTGAGAAAATGATGGTCTCGTTTTAGCTGAGATGGCTGGAGAAACAGTTTCATTCTTTGAACAGATGATAAATATAGGAGGAAAACGCTTCTCTTTTCAGTTCATTCACTGCAAGATAATACTTTCCACTAAAGCAGTAGCAGTAGAAAGTGAACCGGAAGCAGAGACAACATAGGTGCATCATTAACAAAAATTAATAAACCTGGTAGTAACAGCTTGTGATGGAGACTCCACCTGCTGCCTGCAGAGTGCCAGTGCTTGTACTTTAAATATCTGAGTGGTAAGTGGAAAAGGGTTCCCTTCTTAATAGACTTTTTGCATGCAAAATAAATTATTTGTTTTTAAAGTGTAAATGGTCTTTGTTTGCTCTCTAATCCTTTCCCCATCATTACACCAGAGGTTGTTTTGGGGCTGGTCTGGCTGCTATACTTTCAGAACGTCACAGCAGAGCATTTATTGCCCACCTGGCAGGAGACAGTCTGTAAGATCAATACACACATCAGACATTCAGACAAGTGGTTTTGTTCAGGGCATCAACAAAAATTACTTTTAAAAGCTGCTAGCATGCAGCAGTTCTTGCCCACAATGCAACTCCTATGTCCTAGAGGAATAAAATTAATAAATCAAAATAAAGTACTGACAAGTCATGAGAGGGGTCTCAAGTAATAGCTATTAGTTCAGCTCCACCATACCAAATAAAAACTAGCAACTCCCTCTGCTTCACTGAAAGCTTTCTCTGCCTCCCCCCTCCACACCACTATTGTTTAGCCATTCTTGCATGTGTAATGAAAACAGCTGTGGTTGTGTCTGTACTAGTCAATATTTCCATGGATGTTCAACCACATTCTTGTTCTGGCACAAGAAGTCTATTATCTATGCAACAAACTTATTGCCATCATGCAGCTAAGGAGTTCATCTAGACTGCAGACACTGTCATCAGCACTTTCAGGTTCTCCAACCTTTATATAAAAAATTTATTACTTGCCAGACAAACTGAAATATTATTCTACTTAATTTTTCAAAGTACTAAGCCAATTAGCAATACCACATAGTCTGAAATGGTTTTTAACTCATCTCCCTTAGGACTGAATTTATCTGCAACTGGCTTTTGCCTGCTACTCCCAAAATAATATGTGAAAAAGACAGAAAGGAAGACTAGTTGCTGGAAAAATATGTTGCAGAAGCTTGCAAGTTACAAATGGAGGTACTAACTCAAAAACACTCTGAACAACACACTTCCCCATACTACATACATGCTACACTCCCCAATGCACCTCAACACACCTCTCTGGTGTGGGAAAGATCAGTCCTTGAATATAGGTTAGATAATGTCTCAAACCGAAGTTATCAACATGCCATTTGAAAGCAATTTAAGTGAACACATTTATCAGTAACACCCAAAAAAAAGATATGGACAGGATTCAGCTAGCTGACTAAACCCCTGAACTGAGGTGTCTGTACATAGAATATGTGTCTAAGCAGCCATTATAATCAAAGCTGTCTCAGTTCAGACACCCATAGGAAGGTGCCTACTGCTAATTGAGAGCCTGCATAAGACAGAAAGAGTAAGCACAGAGAAAGGTGAGGTACTGAGGCAGGTAAGCCAAGGCAAGGAAAAGTGCTTCTAATGTAGTACATGAGGAAGGAGAAATGTGTCATTTTCAGAGAAGTTAGAATGTGGAGAAAAGGAACAGCAGATAGATGATAATATGGAGCTTACTTAGTAGCAGGGAAAAGAAAACTGGGAGTCAAAGAGTGGCACGTACCTAGCTTTTCTTATTATTACTTCCCTCCATCACTAGACAATTTTACAAAACTGGGAGGATGCTATGGCATGCAGTACTACTAGATGTAGTGCTAGCCTCTGGTCCTCAGTAACACATCACTGTTTTAGGAGTGCCCTCCCCAGCCAGGGGGGAGCACGTGAATGGACAGAAAAAAGACGGACAAATTCAACATCCTGGCGTCACCGTGTCGGTGCCTGTTGCAAGGCTGCCAGCGTGTGCAGCCGTACGCCACTGCATGACACACCGTGTGGAAGCCACCAAGCAAAATTACAAGAAGTCAGTTGTCTTTCAGTGAGTCATCAGGAAAACAGCAGGAACTGTTTGTTCCTTAGTGCCTTGCTGTCCAGAAGGTTCCCCTTGGCTATTGCACTTATATAAAGTAGCCATTGTTAGGGCCACACAATATCAACACTATACGGGGCTACAAAATAGCGTGCTGAACAACTTTTAATTTACTACTGTGTTTTACTATCTCTTGAAAATTAATAGCACTGTGTGTTGGCACTACTGTCCAGAACTGCTTGCCTGCAGCTATCAGAGGACTTTTCAGGCAGTCAATCTGAGCACATGAGCAGTGCCTAAAGCCCCCTTGATCCAAACTGGGACCACACTGTCTTGTCCACACTTCTGAGCTACCGGGTCAGGCTACCACCCATGAAACTGTGTTAAATTTATTAGTTAAAGTATTTAGGATTTACTCTGGAAGTAGAAGAACACAGTATTTCAGCAACCTCATAGTCAGGTTCATCCCTAACAGCAAACTTCTCAGCCTGTCATCAAAGGGTGGCAAACAAACACACCCATATGGATGCCAGTGCATTTGTGAGATTAATACGTTCAGATATTTTTTGGCAAGAGAGGGAACAGAGAAAAAGAATACTCAAAGGTACAGCCGAAGAAATTACTAAACACAGCTCACCCAAGTAATACAGAATTCCTGAGCGGTAAGTAGGCAGTGGGTTCACTTTTTTTTCTCAATTACAGTATTGTTTCTCAGGCTCCTTCTATAGTACTCAAGCACAGATTAGCATCAAGCCAGAAAAGTATTTAGCCTTTGGAATTTTTGAAAGAATTTTGGCTAAAATACAACATTCTACATATAATTTTATGTGGAAATCAATGTATCAATAGACAGAATAAACTACACAACAATTCATAATGGCAGATTATCATTCTGGAGATAACAAGAAGATAATTCTACAAGGAAAACTGCAAACAAGTAAAAGATCAAGGTCAAAGTGGAAAGAAAAGAGACAGGATGAGCAACACTGAAACATTTGCTTCACAGACAAAAGAATCTTCAAATTAAAAAAAAAAAATGAAAAAAAACAACAACCCCACCATATTATAAGAAGCAAACTCAGCCAGTCAAATTAATCCATGGTATCTCAAGCTGAGTACACAAAAGTGATGAGCACTTCTGGAAATTTTAGCCATTGTGAATATTTTTATTTTTCTGTTCTTTGGAGAAAATATTACGTCTCTGATTCCTTGTTCTGCCAAACCACCTTTACATTAGCTTAGGTGTATTTGCATTGTCATAAACCTCACCTGAGAAAGAACAGATTCTACTTCTCTTGAGCAAAATTTCAAGACTGGACGAAAAGGACTCAGCAAGAAACCCAAATTATAATACCTTAGTACATTTTTCATTGCTCCAAAGACCACGTAATATACGCATGACATGAAGCTGGCCATGCTAATCTTTACCCAAAGCTTACATCAAATCCACCTTTTTGTTCCTATTTTAAGTGACAGATAAGTATTCTGGCTGCTGATTTTACCTACTGTGAATTTATGTGCTCCAGATTTCATAGAGTAAGAAGCATGATCTAAACCATGTTTTTCCAATACTGACACCAGGAATGTATTACTGGAACACTTATGAAAGTCTCTCAATGGAAAATGTGTGAAGCAAAGCTATCCATTATACAAGGTGGAAGTCAATTCAAGACTATTATACCTTCATTATGCATCTACCATGTACGCATCTACCTAGGAGCTACGTAACTTTAAGTTCCCATTATACCAAATAGACACCTTAACCAGTTGATGGAGCATAAAGAGTAACTCACCTGGAAGACAGAGATCTCAAAGACATAAATTTCCTAGGAGATTCAGGAAACCTAGAATAGACTAGATGGCAAGAAGAGAGAGCTGTTAAGCGCCCCAGTAGAAGTAAAGACTTCAGTGTGAGATTTTGCATTACTAGGCACCAGAGACTACACAAGTAAGACATTTGGGTCCACAAGGAGCCATTTTACATTATCTGACAAAAGTAAAAGCTTGCACCTGAAAAAAAAGCTTCTCCTAAATACTAAAAACAGCCACCAAACAGAAATCCGTGTGAAGAAAGTCTTCCCTACATCTGTTGATCTTGTTTTCATTTGACTCTCTGAGTTACCCAAGTTAACCAGATTGACACAAAATCTTGTAAATCATTAGATCTGGGGAAAAAACCCACATTACCTGCAGAAACAATCTTTATTCTCCTAGGCTTATACCTCAAATCAGTATATCTCAGAAAAATAGTTTCTCTAGTATTTCAAAATTTTTGATGAAGTGCAATAAGGGATGACCTAAGAAGGAAGGAGCAGTTGCCATTCTGTTCCTTCATTTGTTCATCTACTACTCACATAGATTTCCTTATGCTTCCAAAATTATCTTTCATTTCCAGTAAGTGTGATGATAATTCTTCTAATTTTGACATCCTTGTACTGAGGCCTTTTGATTCCTATCTCTATGCTGGAATTTTCTTCCTTTTTGCTTTCCTGCTTAACTCCT